AATTTTGCAGTCCAAAGCCGCGAGTTGGAACTTTGTTGCCTTTTAGGCCCCTGTTAGGTCAACCTGTTAATTGACAGCTAACATTAACATGGCCTGTACATGCAGAACCTACGGAGTTTTTTGAAAGGGCTTGATAAACACCATATCCTACCCCTGGGGGGGAAGATTCCCAAATAAAAGGAGGGGGTGCTCGTCGTATCTTCAAGGGGTGAAAAACGTAGCGACTTGGGGCGTTCAGCCTAAAAAGGTACACAGCGGAAGCTTTTGTGGTTCCTTTTAGGATATTGAGCCAAACTGATAGGAGATCATTTGTTGTCTTAGAATTGGCACCTCCTAGTGGTGAAAATTGTAAAGCCACACCCATAAAACAAGATCTTGGTACATCTTAGGGGTTTTTTGAAAAAATTTCCGACGAACACCCCCGTCCTATTTATATGAGTGTCCCCCCCGAGATCCTAAAAGGCAGGTAGGCTAAGGTAAGATGACTTTATTTTTATCCTGTTAGGATATCTCAAACACAGAGCCAAATCACAAAAAAATATATATTACTACAAAAAACTACGACGGGGTAAGATGGCAGCTGAGTAAGTTGTTCATTATGCATGCATTTCCACATAAAACGCAGGAATAATTCAAAAAATTGTTTATTTCAATGGCATCAAAGAATAAGTAGCATGACTGTGACAGCTGCCCTTTCTTTCGGGGAGCGCGGCTGTGACACAGGCTAAGGAAAGAGCACACTATTCCTGGCCAGATTTTTTCAAATACGTACCTAATTTATTTTAATAGCTCCTGGCAATTTAACACCAAAATTAGTATCATTAGATGTATGGCCGCGGCCTGAAGACGACGAAAAGCAGGAGCGGTCCTGAGTTTAAGCAAATACCCCCCTCACGGGCTTAAAAATCATATGTAGTCGATCGAACCTCTATTAAGTGGCCACCCTCAGGGAAGTAGGAGGTGGAGTTGGCTCCCCTTAATAGGGGTTTGTTTACCTCAAATATTTTCACCATCGGGGTACTTTCTTAGTGAACATGGAGTCACTTCAAGACAATCATGATTAACTTGTGTTTGAATGTTTTTATCACTCGTCGCCTTCTATTTCGGACTTTTATCTGCCATCGCCTTTTCCAAAACAAAGTTAATTTACGTGTATTAAATTTTGGGTGACCGTTTAATAGGAAAAAAGACAACAGAAAAACCTCATCAGGGCAAGCAAGAGGTATAGCCGCAGCTGTTTATAGAGGTGGCCAGTAAATAGGGGTTTTATTTACAGTAATTCACTAACAATAATTTTGGGGCTTTGATAACTGGCCGTTTAATAGAGGGTGGCTGCTTAATATGTGTAGGTGGCTGCTTAATAGAGGTAACAGTAAAGGTAACTTTTATTGTTATAATTATGATAAGTTTACATGACTTAGTAGCTCGCAGCTACCAAAGCTATTCTGGACGAGCTACTATTGCCTTTAGAGTATTAACTAGCTTAATTAAAAGAGAGAATAAGAGTGAAACAGAAATTAAAGAAATTTGAGTAAAGAAACAAAATTAAACCAAAATATTATACATAACACATAATGTAAAAATTATGTAGCGAAACGTGGTTGACATTATACAGTAGAGCGAGTAAACAAAATTAATCGAGAATGAAACGGGAAAAGAGGACCTTATACTAATACTAATTAAAGAGTGAGTACTAATTAAAGAACTAATTAAAGAGCAAGTACTAATTAAAAAGTGAGAGATACTTACAGGTTCCAATATAGCGCATATCAACATTGATTTCCTCATTTTCTGGAATTTGCAAGAATACTTTGTTCAATTCTCGTTTGAAGGGTGTCTTTCTTAACTCACAGAGTTCTATGGGGATACCGTTCCATATCTTTACACCGATTATAGCAAGGGAAAAGAAATGATAATTACTCTCAATTGTTTCACATAATCATTACCAGCTGCTGAGAATCTCGTAAAGTGGGAGTGTATCTGTTTGAGGCGCATAAAAAATCCAGAGTTATTCGACGCAGCACGATGATTATCAGCGTCATGTAATAAACAGGTGACCGATTTATCAGCAACCTGCTCAAGCTAAGGGTCTATTGCTTAGAAGTATTGGTTCAACTGTAATATGTATATATTTTCAAGAGAAAATGAGGTCCCTCATTTTCTCTTGATATTTTTTTAAAAATGTTGTCTTAGAACTATTTTACAAAACTCAGCTTCTCGTCAGATATACTTAGTGTAGACTTCTTAAAGGCATATTCACAAAAGTATTACTCACTACAAGACCTAAGGCCAAACCTGGAAAGCATT